GTGCAGCCAAAGACAGAACAGTTAGCATGTTTTACTCAAACTTTCGTCGTGGCATTAGACCTGGTACACCATTGTCGCTTGCAAAATCAAAATGACGGCACCGTGGGTGGAAACGGTGGAAACTAACAGATTAAGGGGCGGTAATATTATAATGAGATCCATTTGCCACATCACCAAGGGAGCGAAATCTGATGCGCTCGTTTTCTCAGATGCTTGCAAAAAAGGTTTACCAAAACAAAGTTACTGGGTTAATCTTTTTCACGTTTCCTTGGTTGGTAGATGCACCAGGGACCTGATTACAGCACTTAAAACCTGGAAAAGTCAGATTTTCACGATATGTCACCTTTAAAATGGAAATCTTCTGTAACATAGTAAATGCTTTTAATTTATTTATTTATTTTTATTTTTGTAAATGTAATGCTTCATTGTTGAATAAAAGTATTCATTTCTTTCAAAAAACTGATAGGTCTTTTGATAGGTCTACTCTGTACATTAAAAATGGCTATTTTAATGACTTTGCAATGGCTTAAACGAAGCATGCATACAAAATGTAACAGGAGGTCTCTTCTCCATGAATTTGTAGGAGAACTAGACGATAAGAGATGTTCAGAATGATTTCTTAAGAGCCTTTTTGTGAAAGCACTATACCAGGGGTGGCGAACGTCGGTCCTGGAGAGCCGCAGCCCTGCAGAGTTTTGCTTCAACCCTAATCAAACACACCTGAACAAGCTAATCAAGGTCTGAAGGGTTACTAGGAAGCTACAGGCAGGTGAGATTTTATTAGGGTTGGAGCTGAACTCTGCAGGGCTGTGGCTCTCCAGGACTGGCGTTCGCCATCCCTGCACTATACTATACGTTTGTTCTCCAGACTGTACCTGTCACCTGACGCTTTGGTGGAAAATGGAGCACTATCCTCTGTGACAGTGTTTACATAAGGGTGGTGCTGGGTGTGTGAAAGAGGGTTAAATTATAGGATATGTGGTCAGGCAACTAAAAAATCTGCAAAGTAATGTTTATAAATATAGCAGTGACCTACAGGTCCCTTTCAATGGCCTCCTTTTAACCCTGTGTCTATTATAGGTCTGTGATGTTGGCTTGCGGTACAGTGGGCAGTTTCTGAATGAGGGCTAGTGTTCTTCTGGACCGGGGGGGAAGGACTGTTACACTTTAACGGCTATGTTTGTCCATCCTGTGCTCAGGTTAAAGAAACTCTGGCGTATTTGTTTAAGCTGTGGCCTTGTTTTTTTGATGCTACGACCCGGACCGCATGTTTGAAATAAGCTCCAGTTTCCCCGGTGGTGGCTGAAGTGGACGGGAAAGCCACAACATTATGAGAGAACTATGTGCAGATGTGCAGCTCCTATTTCAATGGTTTAATTAATGTTTATTTAATGTTAAGACCTGGCTGTCTGTGCTTTCACTGGCTGGACTGCAGCAGTGTGAAAAGACGTGCGAACAGTGTGACTGGAGATTAGTTCAGGTATTTACACCGTGTTGAGTGCTGTAAACTGACACATGAAACAGAATATGTGAACTTTTGCAGTGCTGAAAACAAAGGCGGAAAATGCTAATA